AGTAGATCACTTGCCTGCTGATCTAGTTCCCCATGCAACCACAGTGAAAGGGCTTATGAAGGGGACAGGTACTTGACATTAACTCTTCAGGTTTCCAGAAAGGTCTCCTGGATTGTAAATTGCTCTAATATGGACAACCTTATTTGCTTTCCTTCTGTGCTTCTGCAACACCAAACATCACATATTTGTATGCAGGTACACACTCCGAGGGAGAACAATGGCCCAGGTCGTCCAGAACTGGGTGGGTTCCTAGGATGCGGAATTTTCAGTGTGAAAATTTGGAAATTCCTAGATAAATCAAGATGAGTTGATCACTTCACCAGGAATGACAAAGGGGATCCCAGAAGATCTTTGTCTCTGCCTCGGGGGTTGTGCTGGTAGTCCAACTATGAGGATATCTTGGACCTCAGGTGCCTGGTCCTATGGAGTCAGGCAAAGTGTATAGCAAGTTCCAGGAGACATCTGGGGCTCTTTGGCTGTCAAGATACGTGTTGTTCACACCCAGGCAGCTACAAAGCATTGGCAGATCACGGAACAGATCCCTGGGATCAGCATAGCTACATGGAGCCCAAGAGGCAAGACAGCGACCTCCCTTGTGTACTTCCTTTATCCTTAGCGAAGGGATTCTAGCCAGCCTGAGCATGGCAAACACGGCCTTCCCTATTCCCTCTGCCTTGCTAAAAACCATTAGATAACATTCCTTAAGCTAGCTAGCAAGGTCCATTCCCTTATTTGGCCACTTTCTCCTCCTGAGACTGACGACCAAGGCCCAGCTATCAAAGTATTGAAGTCCAGCAATCAAAAGCCTCCTTTGGCTCACCTAATTAATATTCCCAATCAAAACAAACCACTCATCCTAACACTGGGTTTCCCCTTTACCTTTATAAACTGCCATTTGCCTATGTGCTAATGTCTGTCTCCTTTCTATCCAGAGGCAGTTCTTTGTCTCTTGGGACAAATATCCCTTCCCCCCCTCCTTTGTTCCTCTCCTCTTCTCCCTCATCCTCTAGCACCTGTCTTTGTCTCTTATCCCCTGCCCTTTGTCCCTCTGGGGCAAATAAATCTGCTTTGTCCTGAGAACTTGGTCTTGGGGTGTCTTGTGCTGAATACCCATCCCTTCACTGAGAAAATGAGCCTGGCATCATGGAAGGGGGTCTCATAGACTGGTAGACACAGGAGTGGGGGAAACTAAGTCAGACAGAGGCAAGTGCAGATAGAAAGGAGGCTGTGATGGATTGTCAGGCAGAAAAACAGGTGGGCCACTTGGCACAAGGAGGAAAGAAATCTGGATGACAAAAACATAAGGCTGTGAGAGGAGGAGATGAGGAAAACAACCCAGCTGGGAGACTGGATTTGGGGAGTAGTGAAGAACTGCTACAGTGTGCTTAGGACTGACATCTTCTTGGCTCCTAAAACACATCCGAGACCTCCAAATATGAGTAAACTATTTCCTATAATTTACTTGTCCTTATTTCTGGCTTTAAGTTTGGCATCACATGTTTTGTGGGTCCCCAGGAGCCCAGAATCTCAGAAAGCCACCAAAGAGTGTTCTAGAAGATAGTGGCCTTCTTGCCTCTTCAGCTGGGGGGGGGGGGGGTGTCAGAGCTTTGCGATCTCTTGTTTCTAGGGCGAACCCTTGTGGCAGGTCCTAGTTCTGCATAGACAGGCTTACAGATAGGGACACTGGGAAGGCTTGCTTGTCACCTGCTGTCTTGTACATTTCCAACTCTTGGGGACACGATGCATCCACAGCAGCTCCAGTAGCTCCTGCTTCTTCGATACGAATCTAGTCATAAGGACGTCTTAGAACAGACCCACAGTTCATAGCTTCTGCCTGTGAACCCCAACTTTTGTCCTTTGCTACTTCATAGAAATCTCATTCTTCTGTATTAAAAGCACTTAAAATATTTTAGGACAACTGTCCTGACTCCTGCACTATTTCCTTCCTTTCTTCCTTCCTTCCTTTCTTCCTTCCTTCCTTCCTTTCTTCCTTCCTCCTCCTTCTCCTTCTTTTTTCTCTCTTTTCCTTTCTTCCTTCCTTTTTTTTTTTTTTTTTTTTTACCAAATATGTGACAAGTTTCTGATGGGCTGTTTCCCCGTTGTTCTAGCTACATTTCTTTTTCATGCCACTGTGGCTCTATGGAGTCAGATTCAAAACGCTGATGGTGGTTGTGGGACTCTCCATAGCTCTTTTGAATAATAAGTGAATCCACATCACCCTCTCTTGAACTTCTATCAGTGTGTGTTTTCCCCACAGGTCCATTATTGCTACACACCCATTTATCTATCACCTCGAAGTCACAATACTGGGAATCTCCTTGATAATGCATCTTTCCCCTTTGAAAGGCTTCAGTACACATGTAGTCAGCTGGGGCAATCTGACTGTCATATGGTTGGATTTAGATGTTCTCATGGCCTCTGGGCTTTGTGAGCATGGATTGCGAAGCCTGGGTCAGAGCTCTGTGAGCACAAGACCCTGTGTAAGTTCCCATGACAGCTAGATGAAGGCTTTGCTGGCAGCTTGGCGTCTGCTCTCCTATCTGCAATCTGTAGCCTGGTACCCTTCCCATCACTGAGGCCTCCCCTGTAATCACCAGCCTCTTCCCCTATCTGATGTGGTTGGACTGTCCCTGCTCATTAGCCCCGCACTTCCTCTCAAGGTCTGGGTATCTGATCTTGGATTCCAATGTGTGCCTTTAGTGTTAGTGAACAAAGACCTTTGCTGTACTTGAGCCAAGCTAGAGACACAGTTGTGAGATTTGTCAGCCCAGAGGAAGTGTCAATGATAGGTCTTTTGAAGTCTTTTTTGCAAGATTCATCTGGGAACCAGCTAGGCCCTGGAGATCAATGGAATTTTATTCTCATTGTGGAAAATGGGTGAGAAAAAAATTATTCAACTAGTCACTGGGGCAAGAGAACTGTAATTCTGGCATCTGGGGGATTTTCAGGGACTTGAGAGGACCAGGGGAGTTTGGGAAAAGGCTGTTGGTGAGAGCGGCTGGTAGAAAAGCGAGCTGCTGGCTCTGCACGGGGATACTAACCTCTTGGCTCACCATTTCTCCAGTACCTGGCAGAGTGCCTGGCATTTGGAAAATGACTGGGTATTGCTTATGAGGATGATCGATCATTGAAAAGACAGTTCCCCCAAGTCTCCCTTGAGTGTCACATGCACTTTTGTCAGGCCAGTGAGGGCTACAGTCAGGAGTCAGAGTGACCTGCGTTAGAGTTCTGAATATGAGGCCCTACGCAAGGTCAAGCATGCTCCTCAACAGAGGAGAGCTGAACTCCCTGAAGCTGTGGGAGGATCTTGTTGAGAATGCGCACGAGGTTCATGACTTGGCCTGGACCACACGCACATAATAACATACGATTCCACATGACCTCCTGAAGCTTTTCCTCAAATTTTGTCACAGTTGTGTCTTATTCTAGAAAATATCTAACTTTGAGAGATTAGTATGAATCATGTGTCAGGAGGTCCTTAGTTGAGTTAAGCAGCTTGGACATCGACTCCACATGACCTCCCATTTCCTTCTCTCAAGATCCAGTAGGGAGGAGGTGGGGGATGGATAAGGAGCTTCTGTTCTGCTCTGATGACAAGCCTTGACACATCTTCCCCATAGGCCAGGTCAGGGCACTCAAGAAGAAACAGCCTTTGGCTCTTTCATGCCAGTCCAGCATTTTCTTGCCCTTTTATACAAGTTTACAGCTTTGTTTTGTTCTTAGGTGAGGGAGCGCTGGGACAAAACCAGGTCACCTAGGTTGGATTTACTGAAATCTGTCCAGATGGCAGGGCAGGCACTTTGACCCTCAAGTTTGTGTTCATCTCAGAGGCACCTTTCTTTCTCTCTGATATGTGTAGCTGTCTGTGGGTTTATTTGGGGTATCTCTTCTGCACAATTTTCTACCCTCCATTTCAGTCCTTTCCTCTGGAAACCAGGCCAAAGAGCAAATAGACTACAGTGCAAAGAACCTGGGCCTGAGGTTTTCACCGTGGGAAGGTCTCAGTTTTTTACTGTGTTGTCTCATATTGAAGTGTGTGTGTAGATGAGCCTGGAGAGGCTGTGAGCAGGCTGGTCTATGTGATCCAAAGGAGATCTCTTGGCCTCTGTCTTGTGCATCTGTGAGATGTGTTTTCATTCTTTTCCCAGATTCCCTTCCAAAAGGAGGCTATCATTGCCACAGAGACAGCAGAGATAAGGAAGGGACACACACACACATCACTTCAGGGATCAGCTTAGGAACAGCTTTATTATATATTTTACTTTCACCAAGGAGAGAAAGGCAAGGGAGCTGGGGACAAACCAGCTCCTGTCACAGAGACACAAACTAAAGACCATACACGGCATCCAAAGCCCCCTCAAACCACATGGTTCAAAGCAGACCTTCCACGAAGCACAAAGACTGACAGAGATCCCAAGATCCCAACTTGTGTTTCCTTACTGCCTGTTTGAATTCAATCTTTTAAAACAGTTTTACAAAGCACAGACCACATTACAACGTCCAACCATATTTTGTTAGGATGCAGAAACAAAGCTACACCATTTTCGATTTGTTAGCACCACGGACCTCTTCTTAACACCTGCTGTGGTGGTGATACCTAGAATAAAGTCATTAAATTCAGGTTGTGTTGAGGCTTGAAAGAGAGCCTTGCACCCTGAAAGATGAACAGAGGCGTCCTTGGGCAATATGTACCAAGGGATAGTTGAGCTTTTGCCGCAGGAGAGCTGTGTTAGGCTTTGGTGGTCTCCCTGGATAACCACACCACTCCTGTACTAGAGACCGTCCACCAACTGCAGAGAAGAGTACTCATTCACAGAGGTTGGGGAGATACAGAGAACTACCTTCAGAGGCACAGACCAAGTCCTGAAATCCTGAGGAAGTCAGGAGACAAGAAGGTGTATTGTACAGAGATACCCACAGGAGAAGGTCACCGGAGTGGGGACTGGGATTAGATTTTCTTCTGTTGGCCATCTTCTTGACTCCAGATGGCACACGAGCAGCTACTTTCCCTTGCCCTGGGATGAGCACTTCTCCTGGAGCTTCTGTGGGAACTCCTCCACACATTTTGTTTGGGCTAGCTCCTGACATGGCTCCACACACTGAGGCAGGCACTGGTCTTGGCTTGGAGGTAGGCATGGATCTTGGCCTTGCTGTGGGCAGTTTCCTTGGCTTATCTCCTGGCACTGAGGATCACATGCCTCCTGAGCTTGGAGTGGACATTTGTCTTGGCAGGGGTCCTGACACGAGGGAACACACCCTTCCTCAGCTTGTGCCTGGCACTTTTCTTGGGTCTTTTGAAGACATGGAGGTGGCACACATGGTTGCTTGCACTGTTGATCACTGAAAGACATCGTGGGTGGTTTGAAGAGCCTGAAAATAAACAGAAGATTTGAGATGTTTTGCACTCAAGGCACCAGACTGGGAAGTAGGAAAGATATGGGTGGGTGTGGAGGATTGATTGAGAGGGGGATGGGAGAGAACATAATTAACTCTAAGATTGATTTTTTGTCTCTTTGTTTTATATCTCGAGCTCAGCTCCCTCCGACACTTGTTTCCAAGATGAAAATGTTCTCCTGACTTTTGTCTAAACAGGCACAAGCTGAAAACCCCAGTCCTACCACACAATTTAATTAATAATTAAAAAAACCAGCTACAATATATTAAACAGAATGCATGAGATAGTTAAAGTGGTCCAAGAATGGCAAGCTGTCTAAAAAAAAATAGTAGAAAATATAGTCTAAGATAGGAACAGAAGAGTGGCCTCAAAGAGATGGAACATCAGGGAGGGAAGGAAGGAGGGAGAGAGGGAGAGGGAGAGAGAGAGACAGAGAGGCAGACCAGAGAGACAGAAAGAGACAGAGAGAATGCTTACCTGATCTTCAACAAGATTCAGCGAAGGATGTGGATTGTGAAGTCTGGGAAGGTGGGGGACTTTTATATAGTGCTTGGCATGGCCTCCTGAAGGACTGGTGGGCCACGTGGGCCAAAGTCCTAATTGTGGAGTCACCATAACAAGCTTCATCTGAAATCATGAACCGTTTGAGTCACTGCTGTGATGCCTGTTAATCAGCCTTCAGTTTGGCCTCTGGGTTCTCACCAGACCTCAGCAGGGAGGGGCCCCACTCAGAACTCCTTCATTAGAGGCAGCAGGAAAAGAATGTTCATAAAATGTTATCTGTCTGTTCAGCCAGGGCTGAGGTCCCTTGTCTACTCAAACCAGTTCAGGATGTGGTGAGAGATAAGATCAGCCTTGCTCATCTCATCTTTGCTAGTAGGGAGAATGTACGCCCACGGCCTGGGGTCTGCCTGAGTTGAGGACTTGTATGGTGTATTTTAAACATTTCCACTGGATGTTCCTGCACGAAGAAGAAAACCCCTTCATTTATTTTGTCTAGACTAGCTCAAGGCTTGGTTCTACACGGTGAGGCAGACACTGGTCTTGGCTTGGAAATAGGCATGGAAATCAGACCCAAGGAAAATGGCTTTCCTTAGCTTAGGGTTCTAAGTTGAGGCCCCACAGTGTCCTAGGCAGACATGAATTTTTTTCCTGTATAAAGTCCTGAGGAAAATTAGAGTAATTTCTTGCTCTTGAGTCAGATAATATGGTGAATGGGAAAAGAGAAGATGCCAGCCTCATTTTTCTCAACTTTGAGTTCTGGTGCCTTTTGAATAGTAAAGCTTTTCTGAATGGCCAAGGAAACAAGTTGGAATACAGTGCCTGTCTCCTTGCCTCCTAAAAATCTTGTCAGATTTAGGTTAATGGAAATTGGGGGTGGGCTGGGATTGGGGTGGAAGGAAAAGTTTCAAAGCAATACACCATCTCGTCTGTGTTTTGCCCCTCTTATCTGACGAGCCCTTCTCTGGACCTGTTGAAATCCGGCAGTCTTCAAGCTCCACTCAAGTCTATTAGCTTTCAAGAGTCTTCCCTGGTCACTGTAAACTAGAAAGGAATTTATTTCTTGTTTTTCTTTTCTTTTTTTTAGTTTTTCAAGACAGGATTTCTCTGTATAACTTTGGAGCCTGTCCTTGAACTCACAGAGATCTGCCTATCTCTGTTTCCCACGTGCTTAAAGGCATGCACCACCACCACCGGGCAGGGATTCACTTCCTTATGAACTCCCATAATATTTATGTTTGTGATATATATCATAATATATTTATATACCACCCACATATATAAATTTATATAGCATGTATAAACATATATATCATATATATATCTATAAATAGACATTTAGTGTTGCTGTTACATTATTCTGGATTTGAAGTTTCAACCGGTGACAAAATCACATATGTGATAACTGGAAGACCAGAGAAGATAAATGATTATTGATAGGGGACAGGCATCAGTGAAGGAATGAAAGGGCAGGTATACAAGACAGACAGCTGTGAGGCAGAGGAAGACCTACTTACAAACCTCGGTCCCACCATAGGATTTTGTCTTTCTCTTCTTTTTAAATAATTCTTTTGAAAATTTGGATACAATACACAAAACAGAGTGCATAGGATCCTTAAAGATGTAAAGAAATGGCACCAGAAATAGCAATCCGTTTGAAAAAATATCTAGTAGGATGTACAATCCCAGGTAGAAGCAGAACAGGCCTCCTGAAGATGGAGCAGCAGCAGCAGCAGCAGCAGAGAGAGAAAGAGACAGAGAGAGGCAGAGAGAGAGACACAGAGACAGAGATAGAGAGACAGAGAGACAGAGAGAGAGACAGAGTGAGACAGAGACAGAGAGTGAGAACGAGCAGGATTACCTGAACTTCAACAAGACTCAATGAAGAATGTGAAGTGTGGAGCCCAGTAAGTTGATGACTTTTAATAGAAAATGAAAGACAGTCATTTATTCAATTAAATATTAATATTTAGGGGAAATAGTATTCATGATAGGAGTCTAGAGCAGTGGTTTTAAATCTTGCTAATTCTGCGGCCCTCTAATACAGTTCCTCATATTTTGGTGACCCCCAACCATAAAATTATTTTCAATTCTACTTCATAACCGTGATTTTGATAGGTTATGAATTGTAATGTAAATATCTGTGTTTTCTAAGGGTCTTAGGGGATCCCTATGAAAGGGTCATTAGACCCCCAAAGAGTTGTGAGTAGTTGAGAACCACTACTCTAGAGTCCCTAAAATGGTGAACTTATTTTATTGGCTAATGTTGACTAAATTTCAGTAACTTTAAAAATGATAATGCTTTGGGACTGGGAGATGGGCCAGTGGTTAGAACACCAGCTGCTCTTGCAGAAGACTGAGGTTCTGTTCTAAGCATCCAGATGACAGTTTATAACTATTCCATAACTCCAGTTCCAGGGGATCCTGTGCCCTCTTCTCAACTCTGCAGGCACTGCACATGTGTAGTACTCATACATACATTCAGGCAAACACACATACACTTAAAATAAAAACAGCTTTTTCCAAAGCTACACAGAGAAACCCTGTCTTGAAAAACCAAAAAAAAACAAAAACAAAAACAAAAACAAAACAAAACAAAACAAAAAACAGCTTTTAAAAACTGATGGTCCTCCCCTTACCTTGGGGTTAAGGTCTTGAAGAGGCAGATGTAGTTCATTTCCTGAGAAGTAATCAGCAGAAATCAGGAATATCTCTGAATGTTAAAATAGGGTTGGGATACATCAAACATTTTTCTTTTTATTGTGTGTGTTGTATAGTGCACGCACAAGAGTATGCAGCCATGTGGAAGCCAGAGGAAGATGCATGGCATTCTCTATTTTCCTTAACTCCTTTTCTTGAGACAAGGTCTCTGGCTGAAGTTTCCCATTTCAGGTAGGCTGGCTGATTCCTGAGCTCCCAGGATCCACTTGTCTCTGCTCCCCAGTAATGGAGGTATAGGTACCCACAGCCATACTTGGCTTTTTATGTGAATGCTGAATTCAAACTTAGGTCCCCTTGCTTGCATGGCAAGGATGTTCCCAACTGAGCCAGATCCCATCATATATCTCAGAGAAGTGAGGGAACACAGGTGGAATTTTTGGTTTTATGACCATTGCCTAAAGGATTGGTAACTCCAGCACAGCCCTGGCATGGTAATGGGAGGCAGGGAGGAGGAGGAGGAGGAGGAGGAGGAGGAGGAGGAGGAGGAGGAGGAGGACGAGGAGGAGGACGAGGAGGACGAGGAGGACGAGGAGGAGGACGAGGAGAAGGAGGAGGAGGGGATTTGGAATATTGATGAATGTCTCTGAAAAGCAAAGTCTTTGAGGGTTAGCTGTAGAATGGGAAGGCTCTACTCATTCCTGTTCCATTCCCCTTCATTTTTAATCTCCTCCTTCTGTTTCTTTTCTCCCCTCCTTTATCTCTCTTTTTTTGTCTTTTCTGTGGAATGTTGTTTAAGAGGAAAAGAAAACTCTATTGTATTGTAGGAAGCAAGGAACTAGCAACTGCTGAGTTTATTAATTTATTCTTTCTGCTAGGCACAACCTTGTTCTTTTAGGGACTCACACTGATGGAGATGGATAGAGGTCAGCAGTTACGTGCCAGAAAAAGTCCCCTTTGTTGAGTCCTTGGGAGGCAGAGGCTAGAGGAGGGACATTTTCAGGTAGGTTTGAAAGCAGAGTCTTAGTTAGAAGGTTTTTGAAGCACTGAGATCTAGTGGGATGAAAGGAGAATCTGAAGCCATCTTAGGCTAGGCATGGATGAGAGATTAGGGGAGAGGATATGCTGGAGATTTCTGGAAGTTTCTAAACATGATTCATGAGGTGACTTTGTTCATGCCACATGCATTTCTGTGATTGTAGATAAGCTCCAGGAAACTAAACAGCAATGTGAAGAAATATGCAGAGACAAGATCATATTCTTATGGTGGTGGACAGCCCATTTGGATAGATCCCTGGGTTCAGCTTCTCAAAAGGCCTCCCCATCTGCCATTGAATTAATTTGTGACCATTCTTGAAACTGATAGCAAAGTCCTCCTGAGGAGGATGGATAATGACTTGCCAAAGACATTCTACTTAATCAGTAGACTATTTGGTTGTGTGGCAAAAGAGAATTAGATAGGAGATGGAAACTCAGTTGCTGATCAGAGAGATTATCTTGGGTTATCCAAAGGAAGGGTGTAATATAAACAACAAGGATCCTTGAAAGAGCAGAGGGGGAAGAAACATTAATATCTACTGTGAAAGACCACACTGGCTGTTGTCGGTAAAGAAGCTGGAAGAACATGAAAAGAAGAGGGCAGCTGTGGAAGCTGTGGAAGCTGGAAAAGCCAAAGAAATGCTCTCAAGGAGGCTCCCTAAAGCAATGTAGCTTGGCTGGTCACTCTGAGTTAAGTCCACTGAGACCGTCTGTCATTTTCTTTTTATTTGTCAACTAGACACAAACTTGAGCTGTCTG